CAAGCGTGGCCAGTTCATGCTGCCCAGTCCTTTTGCTGCTCTGGAACAATTTCAGCAAAGCCTTCTGACTGTAAGGGTGTCTGAAACAATGCTCTACAACCTGGTCCCTACAAAGGGCTTGTGCAGGGATTTGGGGAGGGTGGTTCATTGTTTTGTTTTTTTTATGCTTATTTATTTATTTACTTGCTTATCTATTTAGAGGGGAGTATGCCACAGTGCACATATGGTGGTCCCAGGACAACCTGGGAGACTAGGTTTTCTGCTTCTGCCAAACTGGATAATCAACCAGGTCGTGGCGCACGCCTTAGATTCCAGCACTCAGGAGGCAGAGACAAGCAGATGTCTGTGTGTTCAAAGCCAGCCTGGTCTACATAGTGAGTTCCAGGAGACACACACACCCTCAGGTAATCAGTGTTGGCAGCAAACACCTTTACTCCCTCAGATGCTGTTGTGAGATTCCAGCCTTAGCAAGTAAATAAAACCTGAATTCAACAAAAGCCTACGTCCGATGAGATGCGGGAGGAGAGTATTTTGTTTCCTTTCCTCGTGGCTTTAAATCAACACTGAGTTCCTTCCTGTTTGTCATGGCCTGACCTAGACAGCACCCATCTCTCATGCCTGATCTGAAGTAATCTCTGTGTCAATTGTGTAACAGTGGTTTTCTAAATGTTAAAAACTTATTTTTAAATACACATTACTTACATATTACAACATTGTATAATTCCATTCTGTGGACAAAGGTTGTCCTATTGTTTAGAAACAAGACGAAAGAACATGGAAGGCTGTCCTGCAGGTAAAGGTACCTACCATCAAGCTTGACGATCTGAGTTTAATCCCTGGGACACCCAGAGCATTGGGGGAGGGGTGAGTGAGGGGGGGTAAATAAATAATAAAATGTAATTTTTTTTAATTCTTAAAAAGAAAAACGGTTAGTTGGGCATGGTGGCACATGCCTTTAATCTCGGAATTTGGGAGGCAGAAGCAAGCAGATCTCTTTGAGTTCAAGACCAGCCTGGTCTACAGACTGAGTTCCAGGACAGCTACAGTTGTAACATACAGAAACCCTGTCTAGAAAAAAAGAAAAGAAAGAAAAGGAAAACGGTGAAGACTTTGGAGTCCTGTCCGGCCGGCTCATTGAGGCCATCAACACTTCCCCTTATGCCTCAGTTTGCTACCTAGCACTGTGACAAAGACACAGGCAAAACTGACTTGAGGAGGAAGGGTTTATTTGCTCTACCCTTCCCAACCATGGTCCATCATTCAGGGAAGTCAGGCCAGGAACCTGGAGGCGGGAGCAGATGCGGAGGCATGGAGGGTGCTACTTACCGGCTTGCTCTCCATCATTTGCTCAGCTTTATGTTTTATTCAACCCAAGATCACCTGCCCAGGATTGGTACCACCCTCGTGGTCTACATCCTCAGGCATTAATCAAGAAAATGTCCCCAGATTTGCCTACAGCCCAGTCATATGGAGGCATTGTCTCAATTAAGGTTTCCTTTACCCACAATACTCTAGCTTGTGTCAAGTTGACAAAAAACTAACCAACACATCCTAGAATTGTTTATCAAGTCTGTAAGTCAAAGAAAGTTAATATTAATGAACATGATTCTTGCCCACAAAATGGAAATTAATTGTGTTAGGGTTGGAAGAATTATTGACCACTGGTGGCTCAGAGCATCAAGCCCAGTGGTTCCCAACCTGCCTGATGCTGCAACCCTTTAATACAGCTCATCATGTTATGGTGACCCCCTGTGGCAGTTTGAATGTAACTGGCCCCATAAGCTCATAGGGCATGATATTATTAGGAGGTGTGGACTTTCTGGAGCAGGTATGGTCTTGTTGGAGGAAGTATGTCACTGTGGAGTTGGGCTTTGAGGTCTCATCTGCTCAAAATACTGCCCAGGGCCTCAGACCACTTCCTGCTGTCCACACAAGATGTAGGACTCTCAGCTCCTTCTCCAGCACCATGTCTCCTGCACACCTCCATGTCCCACCATGATGATGATGGACCGAACCTTTGAACTGTAAGCAAGCCGCCCCAGTTTAAGAGTTGCTGTGGTCACTGTGTCTCTTCACAGCAACAGAAACCCTAACTGAGACAACCCCAACCATACAATTATTTTCATTGCTACTTTATAACTGTAATTTTGCTACTATTACTGTAATGGCTAGTTTTGTGTCCACTTGACACAATCTGGAGTCCTCAGAGAGGAAGGAGCCTCAGTTGAGGAAATGCCTCTTGAGTTCCAGCTGTAAGGCATTTTCTCAATTAGTGATGAATACAGCTAGTGGTCCCATGTAGAAGGGGAGCGGGCCTGCTTTTTGTCCTTCCCAGCTCCTGCACACCTAGTTTTACACCCAAAATAACAACACACAAATTGTATTCATTTAAATACTGGTTGGCCCATTAGGTCCAGCCTCTTAATGGCTAATTCTCACATCTTGATTAACCCATCTCTAATAATCTGTGTAGCACCACAAGGTGGTAGCTTATCAGGAAAGATTCAGCATGTCTGACCTGGCGGCTGGCTCCATCATGTCTGCTTGACTCAGCTTTCCTTCTCCCAGAATTCTGTTCTGTCTACTCCACCCACCTATGTTCTGGCCTCTCAGGCCAAGCAGTTTCTTTACTAACCAATGAAAGTATGATCCTCCTCCATCAGTCCCAGGTTCTAGAAAAAAGCAGCCTGAGCACGTCAGGGAAAGCAAGCCAGTAAGCAGCACTCCTCTCTCCAGGATCCTGCCCTGTATGAGTTCCTGTCCTTTCCTCCAGGGATGAACAGCAATGTGGAAGTGTAAGCAGTTAACCCTTTCCTCCCCAACTTGCTTTATGGTCATGGTGTTTCATTGCAGCAATGGAAACCCTAAGACAGTTATGAATCATAATGTAAATATCAGATATAAAGGATATCTGATAGTTGACCCCTGTGAAAGGGTCGTTTGACAACCCCAAAAAGGTCACGACATACAGGTTGAGAACCATTGATCTAGCATGTTTGTGACTTCATTTCAGAAGTTTTTACTTCTTACACATGTCTTTGTCCTTTGATGTTTCTTGACATGGATTATAACACATCTCACCAGTTCCCTCAGGAGTTAAAGAGTTAAACAGAATTAAGTCTTATATGCTCGACTCAGATCCTTATGTGTCGGGATTATATCATCACTGTTTTTTCTTTACTTTTTTGAGAGTATAATTACGTTTTTTCCTCCCTCCAAGCCATCCCATATATTCCTTTTGGCTCTCTTCCAAATTCATTGCTCCTTTTTCATTGTTATTGCATGTGTAATATATACAGATATATATTACTAGATGTAACTGCCCCTTCGCCATGTCACCTGCATGTATGTTGCTAGTGCTGGTCATTTGGCACTGGCATGCTCTTCCCTGAGGAAGCCACCCCTCCCATCACCAGCTTCCTTCAGCTGACTTTAGTTCTTTATGTAGGGTTGAGGCTTCCTGGGCTTTTCCTTGTCTACTTGGCATGTCGATTGGTGGCATCTTAATTCAGCTCATGTTGGGGCAGTTTGTTGGACTTTATGGGTATAGCTTCAGTGTTACTAGGAAACAATTTCACAGTGAACCCCCTCACTTTTTGGCTCTTACAATCTTTCTGCCTCCTCTTCTGCAATGTTCCCTGAGCCTCAGGTGCAGGATGTTTTTGTGGGTATATCTATCCCTGGGACTGAACTCCACAACTCTGCATTTTGATTGGTTGTGGTTTTCCATAGAGGTTTCCATCTATTGCCAAGAGAAGTTTCCCTGATTATCTGTGGGTATAAAGATTGTGGCAGTTTGAATAAGAATGGTCCCCTTAGGCTCATATATTTGAATGCTTAGGGAGTGGCACTATTTGAAAAGATTAGGAGGTGTGGCCTTGTTGGAGTGGGTGTGGCCTTGTTGGAGAAAGTGTCACCAGGGGTGGGCTTTGATATTTCAGAACCCCAAGCCAGGCTCAGAGGCCCTCTCTCTCTTCCTTCTGCCTGCCAATCTGTATGAAGAATTCTCAGCTACCTCTCCAGCACCACCATGCTGTCCACCATGCTGATAATGGACTAAACCACTGAACCGTAAGCCAGTCCCAATTAAATGCTCTCCTTTATAAGAATTGCAGTGGCCATGGTTCACGTCACAGCAATAGAATACTAAGACAGAGACAAATGCTTAGAAGGTCATTAGCGATTATTCTGGTTTAGTAAATAGTGGAAATGGGTTCTCCTCCAATCCCATGACTTCATCAGCACTGAGTATTTAGCTAGGGTTCTAGTACCAGGCATGGCTTCCCTCTGTTGAGCAGATCCAATTAGAGAGTTGTTGGTGACCACCAAGGTATGCCCGCCATGACTGCACCCTTAGGGTTACTGTGCCATGCTGGCAGTTGATCTAATTCCTAGGCATCATAGCTGGGTAGGACCATTGGTGGCCTCCTTCCTTTGGAAGCTTGCAGGGTACCCTGTAGTACCGTGGAAGCTAGTTCTCAGGGAAGAGGATTCAGGCCAGTTCCGTATCTTTATGTGTTATGATTATATCATCTAAAAAAACATCACTCTTGGGACTAGAGAGATGATCAGGACCTAAGAATCTACTATACCGCTCTTTCAGAGTAGCTGAGTTCAGTTCCCAAGCACCCTTATCCAGCGGCTCACAGCTGCCTGTAACTTAGCGCTGGTGGTCTAGCACTCCACCTGGACCCCACAGGCACTGCACTCAGGTGCTCATGCAGGCACACACACGCGCCTGCACACACACGCGCGTGCACACACACGTAAATAATAAAATAAATCTTTTCTGACTCAGCTGTTATAATGTGACCAGTAAGAGTTTGGTGATATTCATTTTCCAGGCCAAGATGCCATGTTGAGGAACTCCATAACAGTGAAGCTGTATGCATCTATCTGACAGAGAGTCAACTGTTTAAGGTTATTGAAACTGATTTCACACCTTAAAAAAAAAAAAAGTCCCAGGGTTTGCAGAAGAAATGAGTCCACAGCACAGTAAGAACCATTTGAAATACGTCTTTAATTTTATAAAAATCAATATGTAATCTACAAAATACTTTGTTACATGATTATCAAAGTTCAATCTGTTCTGTATTTGTTATGACAGGTCAAATAAGTCACACTGCGAGTAAAACATAAGTCATTGTTAAGGAACCTTACGAAAGGGGAGAGATCAGACACACACCTCCTGAAGGAAAGGTGCTTAGGTCTCGGATACACACACCAGTCCTAAAGGCGAGCCGGAGAGCTGCAGTTCCTTTGTAACTGATTAACTTTAGCGGTTCCACTGGACACAAGAAGTGTTCTTGCCCTCAGACCTGCATAACTGATCATGTAACAACCAACCCCATGAACTTATTAACAGTTAATATGGCCCCGTGCTGGCTAGACGACCCGACCAGGGCAGTGAAGGCAGAAGAACAAGTTATAAACTGCTGGTGTCCTTGAAGTTGGCCACAGACTCCAAAGTGGTCTACAGAAATTATCTAAATTAAAATGTTACAAAGAAGTGTTTTTTTTTCTAGAATTCCCTCTGGGCCTCCTTTAAAAGCAAGGGCTTTTGAAGATCACTGCTGGCCCCTTAAAGACAGTTTACTTCTTACACAGGCTAAGTTTTCACGTAGAGCTCAGGAGTCACATCTGACCTCCAGCCTCTCATCCCTGATGTTAATTTAACACTAAATAATGGATATCTGAGGTCCTTGATAAATGTGCAGATTAACAACCACGCAGATGCGCCCGCTGCTAATCCTATCCGCATTGCTCCAGAAGCTCACTCGGGTGTGGGGCAGTCTTCCCGTACTGAAGCCTGAGATGGTCCTGAAGTCTGGGCGGCCTGTGACTGAAAGACCACAGCAGTGTGACCCACACATACTAGCCTCCTTCAGGGGAGGAGGAGTAAGGCCTGGGGCCCTTTGCTGGGTTTCTTTTGCAATATGAATATGCATGAAGTTCATCTGCAGCCACTGTGAGTTCTTTCCGGGCAGGAGGCCATAAAACACCTCAGAGAAAAAGATGTGATTACCTCAGCTAACTTCCCTGGGATTTCCCAGCAACACTTCGCATATTTGTTTCAAGCAGAATGAAGAGAAAGCATGCCTACTCCGGAGGATAAGGAAAGACGGTGGGGTTTTTATAAAGTATGCGCTCGCATACATACATGTTTCTACACGTCACCAATGAGCCTCAAGCCAACACTGTGATCTACATATCAAACAAAGTTAAAGGAGAGCCATATAACCCATCGGCATGGACTTCTGTTTTCTGTGCCATCACAGTGAAGTAAGAGCAATGAAATCTGAAAGGTACAAACCATCATGGATGCTTGCTGTTATCTGTGTGAAGAAACGAAATGAATGTAACACAAGATAGATGCATGAAATAAATTCTGTAGGCCAACAAAAAAATGGGGTTTAGAACAGCTGTGTCACTTTCCGACACAAAACAAACCCAGTGAGTGGGGAAGGAGGTCTTCAGTCTCAGATAAGGCTCAACATGAATCGAACATGTATTAACACGACATAGAGGACTCTTTTTCAGACACACACACACAAAAAAAAAATCCTCAGAAAGTCGATTTCATAAATTTTAGGATTCTAACTTGTCATGGTAAGTGCTAAAGGAAATTCCAGGCAGAGGTCTAGCTACTAATGCCACTGACATCTCATTAGACAACGGGACCATCAAGCCATTCCTCCGACTCGGAAGAGTTGAACTACTTCCTTGTAGTAGTACAGCTAGAATTACATGGTGCCTCTCACTTTGCACATCTGCCAAAGAAAACGCTCTCATGGCTTTTGTTGTGAGCCTAGCCTTTAACAGCTGGGCCATCTCTCCAGCCCAAGAAAACACTCTCAACGAAGCAGAGTTTGAATAAAACAGAATTTGAATTTCACCAGCATACAGAATCAAGCCAAGGATTAGCCGTCTAGCAAGAGGGTTGCGTTAATTACAGGAAACACTGTGGCCAGACATAGTCCTAGCATTGCTACTTTCAGAAAACCATACTCATGAACTTTAAAGTTCACCTTTAATGAACATAAATATTTTAATTTATGTCCAATGATTCTGATCTCATTTTGAAAGGAATTCTCCCCGGACCAAAAAGCACTGTATTTTAGTGACTCATTCCAAAATATGTATATCAGTGGAAATAATTTCCTTGGATCACAAATCAGAATACAAAGGCATTTTGAAAATGACCCCGCAGCAAGGGAAACAAATACAGCCGAGGATGATTCCCCAGTGTTGGCACAGGACAGGAGCATAGATAATTCACAATCACAGATACATCCGAATCCCCATTTCAACCCATGCCTTCCAACCATCTTCAGCACATTGCATAATTGGGGCTCTGTCTCCTTTGGCTGCCTTCCTTGGTGATCCACATGCTAATAGTTCAAGCTAGGGTTTCTATTGCTGTGAAGAATCACCAGGACAAAAACAAGGTGGGGAGGAAAGGGTTTGTCTGGCTTACACTTCCCTATCACTGTTCACCACTGAAGGAAGTCAGGACAGGAACTTACTCAGAGCAGGAACCTGGAGACAGGAGCTGATGCAGAGGCCATGGGGGGAGCTGCTTATTAGCTTGCTTGTTTTCAAAGGGTGAGTACCTTATCATCTCGGCAGGAGCAGGGTAGGAACTTGAGGGTGCTCATGATGCTAGAGCCCTAGCTGAGAGCTACATCCTGATCCACGGGTAGAGAGAGAAAGACTGGGTCTAGCATGGCTTTTGAAACCTCAAAGCCCAGCCCCTCAATGAAACACTTCCTCCAACAAGATCACACTTACGCCAATCAGGCCAAACCTCCCAATCCTTCTAATCCTCCCAAACAGTTCTACTTCCTGGTGCTAAACAAATAAATGAGCCTATGGGGTCCATTCTCATTCAATCACTATGCTGAAAGCCCGGGAAATCACTTAACCCACATTACAAAACAAAGTCACTGGGTGAAGAAAGCCCAAATACCCTCCAGTCAAAGCGGCCAGCAGGTTTCCCATCAGAAGGAGCTCCACCAACTTTCAAGAAGATGGAACTGGCACAGAGCACGGACACATTCCTGCTCACATTCCCAGAGCAAAAATCTATCAGAAGAGTAACATCATACGGCCTGCGTTGGGGCATGCGTTTCTCCAGATTCCACTAAATCTGTGGCCTCAGGATGCTACTTAGAACTAAGTCCGACCATGTTGTAGCAGAGCTTCCTGCCCCAGCCTGGGTTGCGGATCTGAGCTGGAGGCATCATCGTTTACTGAGTCACACAGCCACTGGCTTTATCTGGGTCTTCACCGTCTATTTGGATCCACTTCTTTTCTATTTCAACCTGTTAGAAGAAATCAAAGCACTGACAGTGTTAGAGACAAGACACCAGCTCTTTCGTAGGTTTACACCTGATGAGACACTGGCTGCCTACCCTGTGGACGGACACAGCCCCAGAGACAGACAGCAGCTCTTTGGTACAGTTTACACCTGATGAGACACCGGCTGCCTACCCTGTGGACACAGACACAGCCCCTCCATTCATCCACACCAGCTCAATAGCGAGGCACTCTTGTTTTGTGGGAACCAAGCTCCCAATCCTTCCTTCTAGAATCAAACCTGAAGCTCTCTGAAGTCATAGCTTTCATCACAGTTTTTATTTTAAATCTGCCATGCTCTGGGACGCTGACATGGAATGTCCCTACAGAGGGACATTCAGTGGTCCTTAAATGACTGCATTTCCCCATCACTGGAACAAGCTGACCCAAGAGTAAACAAGACCAGGGCAAAGCCAGTTTTCTGAAGTACAGTTCCTGGCTGCTGGGGCAGGAGGTGGGGTAGCCTTTAGGGGAGGGGAAAGCACAATGTGCCAGCTGCCCCTCACTAACATTATCAGTAGGGAAAGACATCAGTGGGGCCACACATACAGATTTCTCAAGAGCTGTCAATGGTGACCACTAAGTTTCCATGACTGAGCTCTGAGCCTTCTTGAATATCACTAAAGAGAGAAATGAGAAGGGGAGAGACAGACAGTCAGACATCCAGACAGATAGACTGACTGATTCTTAAGGGGAAAACTGAGTATTTGCAGCCAGGCCAGGACCCACCCCAGATCTAGAAACCCGAACTTGAACCAAGGCACTGAGGATACCTGGATGTTGTAGCAAGCCCGCAGACATGTGTGCTTCTGAGGCTGGACATCACTCTCCACTCCCAGAGACCTCACCTCTGTCCTTGAGGCTGAGGCTTCAGGCATTGAGAACTGGACAGTAGCAAATGGATACCAGTCCAAGGGAATCTCCTGGTCTGATCCAAGTTCTAGCTTGTATGACAGACAATGGGGCTGGTCAGGACCTACAAGAAGCCAAACCAGAGCATCGGAATGATGAGAAGGCAAAGCATAGTTTACAGCACACGCTTCTCCCTACAGTGATGGCTCCACCAGCAGACACAACTGGGCACCAAGTGGGAAGAACCCAGGGCCTTGCCTGGAGCACCAGTAGCATCCCCCTGTCCCCACACAGATCAACTCTAAAAATGGCTTTAGTCACAAATGTTACGAAGGTTCTCTGACCCAAAAATAAGAACAATATTTCTATGACCGCAGTGTGATTGGGCCCTTAGAAACCTCTGTTTTGTGCCGACTGAATAAACTCCAATAATTCCCAGTCACTGTTTCCAACCAGGGTTTATTCTTAGATAATGCAAAGACAGACTTCAAATGAGATTATACAGTTTCAAAAGCCTGACTTTCCAAAGTTAGGCTTGGAGTTTTGACACAGTACTTTTCTGTTGTAGTAGAATGGATTCTCTTACTCCTGAAATTCCCGCTCTTTGTCCCGGGAAGCATTTACTAGAGCAGATTACAGCAGAGGGACAGGCAGACCAGCCTTCAGAATTTCCACTTGTTCTCGTTGAAGCGAATTGTTATGGTGAGCTACCCGACGCTGTGCCCGGCACTGTGCTAGACCCAGGCGTACTGGGGTCTACTCAGAAAGTTGAGGTGGGGGTCACATAGCATTTGCGAGGGGAGGGAGTTTTAATGGATTATTATTTTGGAGCCAGGCACACACCTGCAATGCCAGCACTAGAGAGGACTGGGGTGTGAGGTCATTCTAGACTACATCTGAGTTTGAGGCCAGCCTAAAACCTCACCTCAAAACAAACAACCAAAACAGTAAAATGTGTGTTGTTATAGAAACTCCACAAGTGCCCCACGTCCTCGCGCATTGTTCATAGCATCTAATCGAGCCAATTTAATCTATCTTTAAATAAAAGTAACTTTAAAAAATAAAGCAGTAATTTCAAAAGCCAGATTAAATTCCTGTGCCACTGAGACAACTCAATAAAAAACATTTTTCATCAGAGGATAGCCCCAGGCACAAAAACATGAATTTAAAAGATTTTGCTTGAATTGATTTTAAAAGATAAATCACCTTTCGTTCCTTGCAACCTGTTTCTGGTAGGGAGACAGATCGGGTTCTGAAGCTGTAAAAGGCCTAGAAAAGTCACCCATCAATCAGCCAGCCGACCCTCGCCCACAGCACCAACACAGAGGATGGGATGACGGTGGCCTCCGAGGGGCCATAGGCTCCCAGCAGCAGCCAGGACGCCTACACTGCGCCATGGCCTTTCTGTTTAATTACTGTTTTAGAACACGAATTCTAGACCCAGCTCTGCTACTTAAGAGCTGTGTGACCCTAGGCAGACAAGCTACCTAACTCTCGGCATCTCAGTTTCCCCAATGAGGTCTTGCAAGGCTGTTGTGAGGATAGCCAACCAGCATAAGTACACGACAGAGACCAGCTGAACTTAACCCTTGCCAGTCAGAGAACTGTGTATTCTACATATTTAGATTAAAAAAAAAAAAAGACAATGAAGTTTACTTAATTTGATGTTTACATTGTACAGGAAAAATTTCTTAGGGAAATTTCCTACTGAAAATGGGAATACATCTGAGTTAAAGACATTAATACTTTTTAAATTATAGAAATGACACTTCTTTTTTTCCTAAAAAGCTGCTGATGAAATCATTTTTCTCCCAAGTCTTCTGGTGTCTTTTCCCAGGCTTTTGGCCACTCTATGATGTTTACTAACAAACTCTCATTCAAACTTTGAGCTGAGGAGACCAGGTTCAGTGCCAAAAAGACACTTGTCAATCTTAGAAATGATAGAAAAGTCTGTTGACTCGGTACCGACCACGAGAGGGCACTGTCGGGCCTTAGTAATTACTCTTTCGGCTTAGCTCCTCAGCTCAGGACCCGCAGAGCAGACCACAAAGTCTTCTCAGGCCTGGTTGATACCCACTCTCTCCTGACCCAACGGATTCCACATCTGAAGCTGAGCTACTGAGAGCAGAAGACAATGGATGTAGGAGGACCAAATCGCGAGGCAAAGAACCAAGGTGCTGGTGGCAAAGAGCGAAGCAGAAAGGCATTTGTGGGAACCGAAAGGTACAGCTGCTGGTGAGTCTCACTCCGGCACCCCACTCTAAATCGCCATGGCTATGCGTCTCACTCCGGCACCCCTTTCTACATTCCGTGGCTGTGAGTCTCCCTCCGGCACCCCTTTCTAAATGCCCGTGGCTGTGGGGTATGAAGATGAATTGGGGGAAAACTTGGGGAACTCTGATTTGATGAATTCATCCAGATGTTCGTTATTCAGCCAGACCTTTCCTGTGTACATCTGCCTAGTGTATGTGATAAAGAGTGGCCACATCCCCATTTCAAAGTCCCCATGAATCTTCAGGGAATTCAGGGAACTTCAGCGCCCTTGGGATTCTCCTCCATGCTATGAACAACAAAGGAACCACTTTGACGAGAGAGAGAGAGAGAGAGAGAGAGAGAGAGAGAGAGAGAGAGAGAATGCACGAGCTAAGGGATTTTGAACAGCTATTTCAAATAACCTCAATATCAGGTTCCTATCATGCAGATTACAGCAGCATCCCTGGGAAGGCTCCAGGCCCCGGTATGCTTGAATCGCTCCCCAGGAGAACCTCATATGTTCCCAGGATGAGGACCACTTCCCTACAGACCTGAATGATGTAGCCAGGAAAATCGGGTCCAGCCAATGGTGAACCTGCCTCCTGGACTGGTCCTTGCCTGTGACTTGCAGCTTGCTGACATAACCAAGGAGAGTTTGACAGGATGCAGCAGGTACCAGACACCAACTTGGGAGACTGAGGAGCCTAACGGCTCTGGGCAGAAAGGATCCTCAGCCTGTCATCCTCCCAGGTACCTCACACTGTCATTCACAGACGCCACATTCCACTCAGCCTTGATGTGACTCTCATCAGTCACAATATTTGCCCATGATGTGGCTAAGGGAGCTCATTTCAAGGTGAGGCGGTGTGGTGTAGTCTGGTCACAATGGCCTGTGATGGTGTGGGCTGCTCAGCTCCCGTGCGGTAGGCATGTCAGTGAGTCACAGAATCCAGAGATCATACATTTGGTTGTCCGCTAACTAGGCTGCTGAAGCAGCTTAAACCTTCCATGTGTCATGTGGGGGAAGCTAGTATGAAGATCTTTTTTTGGTTTTGTTTTTTGTTTGTTTGCTTTAGTTTTTGAGACAAGGTTTCTCTGTAGTTTTGGTGCCTGTCCTGGAACTAGCTCTTGTAGAGCAGGCTGGCCTCGAACTCACAGAGATCTGCCTGCCTCTGCCTCCCAAGTGCTGGGATTAAAGGCGTGAGCCACCACCGCCAGCTTCAGTTTGAAGATCTTAATAACATATTCCCCAAGGTTGATTTTGAAATCTATTTGCCCTTTTTTCATCTCATATAGTACACAAAATCAGAAACTTGGCTCTCATTTTTACAAAAACAGGAAAGCAGGGAGGTGGCTGTATATTTGGGAACCTCCTGGACCCAGAGACCACCTCTGAGGGCTGAGTGACACCTGATTTCTGCTTTTATCCATTGGTGCTAAGACAGCCTCTGGGACCAGACATGGTGTCTGTGTGGAGTGGCAGCAGTAGCTATACATTTCTAATGAAAATTATCCCATTTATAGCACTGCATTTTCCAAGAATCCCTGATGGAAGCTGACTGGATCAGCAAAAATGGATCGTGAGAGGAGGACCCAGTCCTTCACGCCTTCTGTCCACAAATTTACATTGCTCTCCTCCAGGAAATTCCATCCAGCCATGTGCTGGATGCTTGGGAGACTCATACACACAAGTGACCCCAGATCCCCAGAAATGGAACTGGAACTGCCCAGGAGGTGAGACCAACCCAGAAGGAGCAACTCAGAGAGCTCGGTCCAGCCGGTCCACAATGAACAGCATCAACTACAGAGTCCCAGAGAATGACATGCTGCTGCACCTGGGAGCCAGAGGAGACCGCCCTTCTTCTTCCTTCCTCCCTCCCTGCCTTCCTTGTCTCCTCCATTCCTGTAAACATTCCCTTTACCACCACAGAAAAATCTCTAAACTAGGATGCCAATTCTTTAGATATCAAAAAGGCGGGAGAGGTTAAGCTCACTGGGTAGAGTTAAACACAGAAAACAAATAACGCAGCCATTAGGCTCGTCGTCCCCTCCCACCTGGCTGTGCTGGCGCACCCTCAGCCCCTTGTCCGCTCCTCCCAACATCCCCTCACCCCGCCTGGCTGTGCTGGCGCACCCTCAGCCCCAAGACCACTCCTCCCAACATCCCCTCACCCCGCCTGGCTGTGCTGGCGCACCCTCAGCCCCTTGTCCGCTCCTCCCAACATCCCCTCACCCCGACTGGCTGTGCTGGCGCACCCTCAGCCCTCAAGCAGCCTCTGCCCACTTTGGCCCAGGATGTAGGGAGCTACACTGAGCATTTTCCTATGAAAATCAACCCAGGCCTTGGATATTTACTTGAGTTTTTGTCCGGAAGCCGATCTATCTTCCACACCACAGCCCGGTAGGCGCTCTCATATTTTGCTGACCCCACAGTGACCTGAATGACAGGTTCAGATTCAGGTTCCTGTAAACTCCCCAGACATGCCCGACGGTTCATTTTGGCTTTCAGGGATTTCTGCCTCTGAAGGTTCCTGGTCCAGAGGGCCTTGATCCACTGGGCTGGGACAGGAAAGTGAATCATGATATTGTCACAACACCTCAAGGAACTGGCATGGGGTGACCTCTGAGGCCCAGGGGTCATGTTGACAAAGGCCTGAAGTTCCACATAAGCCCCCTGCACAGCCACTGTGGACTTCACGGAAAAGGGAAGCTCATCCCCTTCATAGGACGTTTGGAACCGCATCAGTTCAAAACGGCAAGCATCCAGAGGGACAAATTTAATGATTCTGGACTGTTTGAATTCTTCAGCTTTCACACACGCATGGAAATGGTAGTTAAGAATCTCAATCCCTCTTTTTTCTGGTTCTTTCTCAAAATAGCATTCATCTCGTTTCTGGAGTTCAAGGTCATTCAAGGTTAAGAAGCATTCTGCCGCCCCGTTCACAAAGCAGAGGCAGGAGATCTGAGTCATTACAGCCCTGTCAGCCAGTTTCCCGTCTTCCTTGCTTACTCTACCCCAAAAGTTGTCCACAATATCCAGGTAAATTTCTTGTTCCTCGTAGTTCCTCTTTGGTTTCGCAACAGCTGGCAGCTTTATCAGCTCTTCCTCCACAGTAGTCAGGAACTCAAGGAAATCCCTGTACTCTGTGGTCCCCAACTTCAGCATCTGTTCTACGTCAGGCTCGTGAACCACCTCCGTCTTGGAATGGTACTTCCTTTTCTCTGAATAAGACACATGTTCCACCTTCACGGTGTGGATTTTTCCCGCCATGTTGAAGTTCTCAAGTTTGGGTTCAGAAAGTCTGCAATTTGGATCAAGCTGGAACTCTTTGAATGGCTTTTCCAGCCCCTCCTCATAGTACATTTGCAGAATCCCTCCTGGCAGAACCTTTAGGAAAATGGGTCCCCACTGCCTGGAAGACATCATGTTTTTCTTCTCAGGAATCCTCAGCATGAAGGACCATCCGGCTTTGGGCTGACTCCGGAAGAGCGTGTGCGGCACAAAAGAAGAAGCTGTGTCTCCAGCACACAGACTCCTCATAGACACGTTTCCCAGAGGGCCCTGGGTCTCGGCCGACTGCAGGTGTTCTAGCTTCTCACAGATGTAGTTGAGTGAACACTGGTTAAGGCTTTTTTGATCCATGGGAACTTCCTTGTCCCTTGAGGAAAACAGCTTTCTGCTTGCCAGGGAGTCAAAGGGGAACTGAGAAGTGCTACCTTCATCTTTCCAAAATGGGCTGGAAAACGCACAGTCATCTCGAAAAGACTCAAACTGTAGCGCCTCCCCGCGGGCCCGCTGAGGGCTGCTGCCATCTTCAAGACCAACTCTGGGAGGCAGCTGAGGGCAGGAATGCTCACTGGGTAGTTGTGCATGGGGTAAGCTGCTTGGCTTGGTGAGTGACAACGGAGGACCTGCTCCTGCTGCTGTTGTGGGGAGGCTGCTTGAAGAACATTCTGGAATAGGATAAAGCACATGAGACCCTGCTTTAGGGATGCCAGGGAAGCCTGGGAAGTCTTTGGTGGGTGTAGAAAGAGGAGAGTTGCTTGGAGGTCCCGGGCTGAAGTAAAAGTCAACCATGGGAGAGGATAGGGGGGTGCTGCTGGTGGAGGAGGAAGTACTGGGAAGGTCCCTGAGGCCAGGCAGGTTCAGCTTCAGTCCATTTGGTCTGCAAACACCTTGGGTCTCCAGAGGGAAATCCTTCACCTTCTGAGAAGACGGAAAAGCAGGGTCATCGTCGAAGGTGACCCAGCCGCCTGGGTTTGTAGAACACATCTTCAGGGCAGGCTTGTGGTCTGGTCAAAGAGTCAGGGACATTATCTCTGCAAAGGAGAAAGACAAAGTCAGATAAAGTAAGTGTTGAAAAACAAAATACAGTGGTGCGCACACCACCCAGCACTCCAGAGGCAGAGGCAGGTGGATCTCTGTGAGTTCAAGGCCAACCTGGTCTACCAAGTAAATTCCAGGGCTAGGGCTGTTACACAGAGAAACCCTATCTCAGAAAGAAAGAAAAGAAAGAAAGAAAGAAAGAAAGAAAGAAAGAAAGAAAGAAAGAAAGAAAGAAAGAAAGAAAATGAGGAGGAGGAGAGGAGGGAGGGAGGGAGGGAGGGAGGGAGGGAGGGAGGAAGGGAGGAAGGGAAAAGAAGAGTTAATGTCCCTTGCAAAGTCCCCCAAAAGCTGAAGAGGAGGGAATGCTTCCAAACCTGTTTTATGAAGCCAGCTTCATCCTGATAACAAAGCCAGACAAAGACCCTTAAACACTGAATTCATTATTTAAAACAAACAAACAAACAAGAAGGACTATAGGCTTCTAAGGATGAAGAAAACACAGTCTATGCGTACAGGGAGGATTACAGGGTCTTCAAAACTAATTCTGATTCCTGCCACGCACAGCTGGATCGTGAGGACTGGATCTGCGGTGAAAAGCCAGCAGCAGACAAGCACACTATGAGCCCACTTACACAAGACATCTAAGTCAGATTCTGACAGCAGCAAGTGAAGCAGTGGGTGCCAGGCCCCGGGGGAGAGAAATGGGGAGTCGCTGTCCAGAAAGCACAGAACTTCAGCTGTAAAAGATGAGTTTGGGGCTCAGCCAGTGCATATAGTTTTGTTGACAACTGATAAATTCTTATAGCTAATTTAATGAACAATGGAAAAAAGGAAGATTCAAAATTAGAAATAAAAGACAATGCATTGGAAGTCACAAAAAAAAAATGAAAAGAATTGTTAAGAGACCGTGAGCAGACCAACCAGGGGGGTAGCCCTTCGACACTGATCACTTAAAATCGTGTTACAAAGGATAGATTTCCTGTGCCTACAGACACATACACACACCGGGAGAAATATAGACAGGAGGGTTGGGAATATTTGATTCAATACTTTTGAATGAAATAACTAAGTCTTCATTGGAATGATGCCTATTGTGTAGCCATTTCGTTAGTGGAGTGGAAAAAGTAGGGGACAGCTAAAAACCCAATGACTTTATAAGGCACTTTCAGCCCTACCCCCAGCATATGAAGTTCACTATTCAAAAAGCTCTTGACTCCTGACTTATCAGCCTGTGCTATGAAATCACCCAGCAACAGCAATAAGGGACAAAACTCTCGTGTCAGCCTGAAGTCGCCCCAGAAGTTAGGGTCAAAATTAGGACTCACTGAGATAGAATTCATACCATATACCACAGGGCCCCTTTCCAAAAAAAAAAAAAAAAGTGTACGCCTAAGTGCTATTTAGGATAATAACAGAATTGTGTATCCATTGCCACCAACTTCAGAACATTCCTCTTGCCCCCAACATCAACCCTAACACTGCCCATCTTCCCTTTCTCCTGGGCCCTGGAAATCACTACCCTACCCTGTCTTTGTGAACTTGCCTTCTCTGTAGTCATTTCTTTTGAGCATCTCCTTTGATATGGCATAACTTATTGAAATTATTGTAGTGACACCAAAGGCAGCGAGCTGTAGGGAGCACATCCTTGAGGTTAGAGAGTGCACTGGGGGGTTTTCTGTGTCATCTGACACAAGCAGAAGGCATCAGAGAGGAAGGCGTCTCAGTTGAGGAAATGCCTCCGTGAGATCCAGCTGCGTGGAGTTTTCTCATTTCGTGATCAATGAGGGGGGCCCAGGCCATGGTGGGTGGGGCCATCCCTGGGCTGGTGGGTCCTGGGTTCTATAAGAAAGCAGGCTGAGCAAGCCATGGGAAGCAAGTCAGTAAGCAGCTCCCCTCTATGGCTTCTGCATCAGCTCCTGCCTCCAGATTCCTGCCTGTTTGGGTTCCTGTCCTGACTTCCTTCAGTGATGAACAGCAATGCTGAAGTGTAAGCCTAATAAACCCTTTCCTCCCCAGCTTGCATTGGTCGTGGTGTTTCATAGCAGCAATTGAAACCCTAAGTCAGTGATGTCACACAAATCCTGGGCACTGCTCTGCCGGGGCTGGCCATGTGCCCGTCTCTCCAGACTTCCAGGGTTACACTGGAGCTATCTTCGGGGCTCGTTCCAACTCTAAAACAATTCTATGGCAATTGATATCCAATTGAACTTTTTTTCAAAAGCAAAAATATTGTTCCCGACTCAGTTCCTGGGCCTCGGTGCTGAGATAACCCAGTTCTGGTAATACTGGGTGTATATTGGCAAGGTTTCTACCATTGAGCTACATCCATTATTTTTAACTATCCCCCTAAAACTGCCAGAAAGCAAAGCCCCAGGAGCCCCACTGAAGAGGAAAACTGAGAACCTGCTGGCACAATGCTCTTGGTAAGGCCTCTTTTCTCCCTGGGTCCCCTGCTTGTGTGTAATTACTCAAGCTTGGAAAAAAGCCTACAAAAAGAAACAGAAGAGGGAGCCTGGGGCAGAACTGAAGACAGCCATTCTGTCTCTGAGCATTCCTGCTGAGGGCTCTAAACCCACACCGAGGGACGCAGGAGCACCTCATTGTCAAACTGTGCCCTGCAGATGCCATCATCAAAGCACTGGCTCCTGGAAACCAGCAGCGCCTCCAAGGGGCTCAGGGGCCCAGACCCATGCTCACCCCACCCTCAAAGGGAATCCAATCTTAACAACCCTTCGGAGAGCCAGACGGAAGGCCAGACGCCCTTCAAATATTTACTCCATCCGAGTTTATTATGTTAGAAGAAAGAGAGAGACTTCGGCACAGTCCTGCTGGGACCCACGCCTGCCATTTGCTCCCTGGCGCTTCCCTGGGTAGATTGGGAAACTCGGTGCAGTTTATTTTTCAGTGTTGTGCCCCTTGTGAGACAGAGAAACTGATTATCATACACACAAGGAAATCAGCCCCATTGTTTTGTAAATGGCTTTCCCTCTGCCCCCATTTTTTTTAACATACTTTATAAAATACCTATGATGTTGAACCTCAAATCCGTGCAAAGGGCCCTTGACCCCCGGCCCCCGAGGCCACAGCCTGTCTCTGCTCTCAGGTATTCTACAGACAGGACGGCAGTGAGAGGTGGGTCTGTTTCCCTCGGTGCTCTGCCCTCTTCACCCCTCCGGGCCACCTCCCAGCTCTGTTTGTTCCACCCCCTTACTTCGGCCGCCCCTCCCTCCGGTATGACCTCATCTTTCTGTCCCGCAGCCCCATCCAGTCTTTTGGCCCAATGTCAACAACTGGGGCCAGTTCCACCCAATACTTCCCTTCCTCCAACCCCGTCCTTACCCTCAGAGCCTGGCTCAGAAGCCCCTGGGCCTCTGGCAGGGGTGGGAAGCACCAGGGATCTTGCCAGCTAGGGGCTGGGTAGGAGCTTAGCTTGCTCCTACTCCCAGCTGCTGCAGAGCCCTGGAAGGTTGCAGCCTCCCTTTAACCTTTGTTGGGCTGGGACGAGTAGATTTTCCCTGAGTGGGAAGTCATACTGGACCAGGACGTGCTCCTGCTCCACACCCTTTCCCCCGAGTGTCATCAATGACAAAGCCATGCTATGGGCAACGTCTCATTTAAACTTCACCAGTCACTGTGTTTGGACGTCTTCCCAACGTCAAGAATCTACCTAGTTCAGGGAAGGCTCAGGAACTCCTAGTTCCTTCCTGTCTCAGTTAGCCTCCTCAGGGCAAAATACATACATACATACATACATACATACATACATACATACATACATAGATAGATAGATAGATAGATAGATAGATAGATAGATAGATAGAATTCCTCTGTCTGACCGGGGCTCTTTCCCTGCCCGACAAGCTATGCCTCCCTGCGGCTTCAAACCTTCAGAAGTCTGTGTACAGCTCATCTGGATCATGGGCAAACTCCTAGAACACAGTTCCAGTCTGTGCCCAGAAATAGGGCAAGACACCAAGATTCTGTCTAGGGCATGGATAGATAATTTATTACAGTGGAGATTTCTAGCAATCCACTTTTGATATTTAAGATTCCTAAGGGAGAAGTCTGCTTCTCTGTAAAACTGTTAGCCACTCTCTTCACATCGGCCTGTGTCAGCAAGGCTTTGGCCTGACTGAACTTGAGAACAGACTAAAGCAGCTGCGTTTGGTTATTCACACCAGGGAAAACAAGGCTACAGCAAACCATGGCTCGGGGCCCCTCAACGGGTAAAGCAGGTGCATTCAGAAGCTGACTTCGATATGCCAAGAGTTTATAGGGGATCCACACAATAATTATCCCCACCCCATTCTAAAGGGAGAGTGAGCAACAGAATAGGTTACAGCAAATGTTAAAAAAAAAAAAAAGATGCATTTCTCTGGCCAGTTAAGAAACCAAACACATGTATTACTACAGAGATAACCATAAATTGTTTTAAGTAAATAGAAAACCCGGGCTGAGGAGATGTCTCCCTGGGTAAAGTGCTTACCATGCAAGCATAAGGGCCTGCGTTTGAATCCTCAGAACCCACATAAAACCAGCCACAGGGGTGTGTGTGTGTGTGTGTGTGTGTGTGTGTGTGTGTGTGTGTGTTTGGGGAGGGCAACATGGCAGCATTCCTATGGTCAGGTGACAAGCAGGAACCAATAATCAACCCCTGGAAGCTCGACAGGCAGGCTAGCTCAGTGTACACAGAGACAAACAAGAGACCCCGCCTCAGCTGAGTGGGAGGCAGCGGTTGTCCTCCAGCCCCACACTCGCGATGCTGCATTGGAACCTGCGCTCACATACACCGTACATACAACCCGCACAGAAATCAAAGCAGCAATAGTTACCACCCTATAATAACAGTACAGCATGCCTTGTGGGTAAGCTCTGCTGTGAGAAAACCACCTCATCAAAAATATCCCAGGACAAAACATTCACAGCAGAGGGAAATGCCGCCCATTCTTTGAGTCAGAGTAAAGCGTCTGCAGGCAGGGATCAGGCCTCATTGGTAAGAGCATTTTCTCCTTTATCTTCAGACACTTGGCAACAACACAGAACTCAATGTAGTGATAAAATAACTTCACGTGGACTTTTCTCCTTTGTCTGAAGTAAATCTCCATGTAACTTTCCCCAGTTCTAAGAGTCGCTGGACTTTAAGAGTTAGGAAGAAGTGCAAGCATTCATTTGATTAAGCAAACACTTGCCGGGCAGGACTTGTCTAAGGGCCGCAGATGCATGTCCCCTTTACACCCACAGAGGAAGAGCCTGGTTGAACCAGATCTGTGACACCAAAGTCACACACTTCCAGGATCCAGAACCTCATGACCCCTGGCAGGAGTCAGTCACCACCACACCCTTCACTGAGGAAACCGTTCCCAGCTGCAACAGACCTTCAGTGGAGCCATGGACAGAAGGATGAGCCAGGGGCAAGCTCTTGGACCAACAGGCTCTAAGAAAGACAAACTCTGGGACAGAGTCTTCCAAGACTGCTCAAGAACAGCATCCCAGCCCCCGTCAGGCTCCCTTCTGAGACGGGCTTTGAGAACTCAGGCTCCCGGGCTTCCTGTTCTGTCGTCTTGCTGCACTAATCAACAGTCCAAATTCTGTCTTACTCCTCACAGGGTCCTCCCTTCTCCTCCACACTGCACCAGGCTCCTCTACCCTGAGGTTCTTTGCCCTCTTCTATCTTACCTTCCTTTTCCTTGGCTTTTCAAAGGAACATACAAAGTTCTATGTCTCCTGCAGATTGTTGACTGTGGGGCCTTTGGCTGGTGAGGCAGCATTCCGGGCCATCTGCAGCTAAAACCTTTGTCCCCACATCATTGCGTGTCTGTGGAGAGGAGCAGACTCCTCTTACTGGTCCCTAATATCTGGTTCCTCTGTACGTGCCATGTGTGGAGGAGGACTGACGCTGAAGAGGTCGGTGCGAGCTCAGGAATGCATTGCCCACACCTCCGATGGGCTGGTCCCCATTTCCCGGTCAGGCGGGCTCCTGCTCCAGCCTCCTGTTTTCGCTAAGGCTGAGCTTAGCTTTCTGTGCCTCTGCTCTGTAACAATGCTGCATAATCTAGAGAAAGAATGTCTTAAGGTCAATATCTGTGTGGTTTCATTGGCTGCTCTCCCAAATAAGGAATTCTCAGATTCCTGCATGCCAGACTCCTCAGAGCATCTTTGTAACCAGCTGGACGCTGGCTGCCTCTGGGAAGTCACTGGGTGTGTGTGCCTTGAAAGGGCCGGGATTCCCACTAGCTGCTGTGACAGGACTGGTATCAGGGAAGCAAAGTCCAGCTTGAGGGCATCATGAAGACGAAGATTTCCCCCCAAACATTCGCTGTGACAGTGCAAGGCTCATCCCCAGAGTTTTCCCTTGAAGGGGAAACCATGCGTTTGGAACAGAAAAGAAAGGTAAGGCGCATGAGCGTGCCTGGCCCTCATCTGGGTCATGCAGAGCACCCACAGGTGGCATGGACGCACTACCAACACATATGTTGTACAGTCACACTATTCAATCACAAACATTTGTGGTGTTTTAGTCATGTGACAGGAAATACCAATTGCACAATGTTAAACCACAGCGTAGTCTACAGTGTCTTCAAAAGTCATCAGCTTTGGTCTCAGCTCCATTCCCCAGGCCTCATGGCAATTAATCTTCACTTTGCCAATGCAAGTTTGGGTCCTGGCTCTTTCCCTAAGCTGGCTCTATTTATCTATTTCCTCAACTTCGATAGTAGTGACAGATGTCTGCTCTCCTAGGAGACTCTTACCAAGTCCAAAGCCTGCTTCTAAGAGAACCCTGTCAACTGGGCCCATCGAGGCCTGAGCGAATGTCTGGGGGCATCATCCTTAGGATGACAGAGGCCTCCTCAGAATGCCTGCCTGGGAGAACGCGGGGCTACCTAAAGACTGTATCCACTAGCTCCTGAGACAGGGCCCTAAGCAGGACTGACTCTAATGACAGGTATGTAACCAACCAGGGCTCCTGCGGGCCACGCACTCCTGCTCTGTGGGTTCCGGCCTCTGCTGCACAAGTCCCTGCAGTCCATGCAGAGCCGAGGGCCACAGAGCTGAACCTTTTCCTGCTTTTGATTCCAATCCACTCTTGCCCTGGAGGTGATGGCACACCCATTTAATCCCAGCACTTGGGAGGCAGAGGCAGATGGACTCTGTGAGTTCAGGGCCAACCTGGTCTACAATGGGAGTTCCAGGACAGTCAGGGCTGCTACACAGAGAAAACCCTGTCTTGCGGGGACAGGGTATTGAATTCATTCTTGCCCTCATGTATGAGCAGACAGCAAACCAAACTGTGCCAGAGGGGTCTTCACATGAACAAACATTTGGAGTTGGGTAGGCATTATGGTTTAAAATTGTTATTGTTTGGCGGGAGAGCTGTCTGGCTGTGTTGGGTTGTGTTACCTTGTTTTGCTGTGGTGCTAGGTGTAGAACTCATGGCCCTACCCCTATGCTGGGCATGAACTCTACCATGGGGATATATACCCAGCTGTAGATTAGTGTAAAAGAAGAGAAAAGAAAGGAGAAGGAGGAGGAAGAGAGCAGAAACCAGCTTGCTGTCTGTGATGGCGGATTTCCACGATTAACTTACCTGGATTTACAACCATCATGGAAACACACCTCTGGCCCTGAGAGTGTTTCTGGGAACTTTTAACTGAAGAAGAAATACCCACCATGAATGTGGGTGCCACCATGAAAGGGCTAGGGTGTCACACCAAACAAAAAGAGTGAGCCGAGCACCAGCATTCGTCTCTCTTCTCCCTGACAACGGATGCACCGGGACCTTATGTTCCTGCCACTGTGGCCAGTTCACTGGAAACCAAACTAAGCGCTTCCTTCCCTGAGTATTTTTACCAGGTAGTTTGTCACAGCAATGAAGGAGGAACTAATACAGTTTGTCCACCATGAGACGACCACAAGAGTTGACAATCGGCAGCCCTCACCTAACCCATCCTGAATCCAGACGTCTAGCCTCCAGACTTGAAAGCAAGAAGTGCGAAAGATGCCATGTCCCAAAGTAAGAAGTCAATAGGAGTGAAATAAAAAGACAGGGAAAAAAAAGACCCAGTATCCAGTGTGCTGGCAAGGTCCTGATCTAAAGGATCAATTGGTCTCTTCATGGCAACGTCTTCCAACATTCATGTTCTAATGAGTTAGAAAGCCCGCTCATGCTCCCAGGAGCCTCCATGGGGAGGGAGAAACACATAGCTTTCCTTCAGAATAAACATGGTGTCTATCACACATGGAACTGGAGCATACACAGCCAACTCTAACCCTGACCACCTCAGCCTTCTGTCTTGTGCTAACTTCTCTATTACAGGCTTGAGGCTCGGCTCTGGCAGCCACTTTCCTTTCCCTGTCACCACAGCTGCCAACATCAGGGACGAGCCTACCTTGGCTTTCCCAGACAAGGGACCAAAGAACTTCCACGTGGAGAGAACTTTGCCTTTGACTAGAGCAAGCACACAGGGCAACATCTAGAGCTCCCATTACTGTCCTTCTGAATACCACACTGAAGCCTGCTGCCCTCGGACCCTGGCCTTTCCTGGCCAAGGGACAGAATCGGTAAAGGGTGAGAGAGATTCAGACTGTTCCATAAGGGCGGGGCTCTAGAAGGCTGCACAATATTCAGTAGGGGTTCTGTCTGTGGCCTTGGGACCACAGCTGTCTCCTCCCTATGCTATACCCCACAGCTACCTGTTGCTCCTTACCCACACTGGTCAGGTCTGAGGTCTGTCCCAGTGGGAATGTCTACTGAGAGAACAGATACCAAAGACAGTAAGTATCTCAAGAAAAACGAAGCCGGACGGTGGTGGTACACACCTTTAATCCCAGCACTCGGGAGGCAGAGGCAGGCGGAACTCTGTGAGTTTGAGGCCAGCCTGGTCTACAAGAGCTAGTTCCAGGACAGGAACCAAAAGCTATGGAGAAACCCTGTCTTGAAAATCAAAAACGGAAGAAAGAAAGAAAGAAAGAAAGAAAGAAAGAAAGAAAGGAAGGAAGGAAGGAAGGAAGGAAGGAAGGAAGGAAGGAAGGAAGGAAGAAAGAAAGAAAGAAAGAAAGAAAGAAAGAAAGAAAGAAAGAAAGACGAAGAGCAGAAGCTGAACACAAAGTTAAGGGCCTTTCTGTGCTAGGGAAGGGTTCACCCCTTGCAGTAGAGAAAGCCACGGGGCACCCACAGGTGAGTCTGAGCAGCTTTACCGGGACGGAAAGGGTAAAGGAGGAAGACACACCCAGGAAGGCCAAGGTCAATACTGGGCTGAGAGAAGGGACAACAAGGACGTGGGGGTTCATGATTAAGTGGTTAGGTCTGGGGAGACTAAGGTGGGAGGTGTAAGATCAAGCTGCCCTTCTAGGGCAAAGGCAACATGTGGCCTCTTAACCCCGCATGGGCGCTGGGCCCCTGGAATGTCTCCATCTTCAGGAGCCTGTTTGTTCCCTGTGTTCACAGGTTCCTGGCAGTCCTGATAACGGCCTTCTTCATGATCTACCTCCTTCTGCTCTCGGGAGCTGTGTTAAAAGAACCCCAGGACTGCCCACTCTCCAGAAAATTCCACCCACCCTAGCCATCAGAAGACAGACAAGCATTCTTCCTTGGGGTGAGTGCCTCACACAAGGCCTGCTTTCAAGGCAGCCTTCTGGCATTTGGCTTCCGTGGGCTCTTCAGTGGAAAAGAGAAACACAGTCAGAGAGAACTAAGAAAGGGCACTATCCCCCAGAGACCCTGTGGTTACCAGATAAGCAGGGCTCCTGAGTTTTGATTCTGAATTCTTCTGGGAAACCTTTTCTGTTCAAAAAAAAAAAAAAAAAACTAATTGTATGATCAGGCATCTTGGATATGTAAATCTCCCTGCAGCCTGTCACCCCTCCTGAAAATTAGCAACTACTATTTATTTATGTGTGTGTGTATGTTTGTGTGTGTGTGTACATGTGTATACCCTTGTGTGCCACAAGAGTGTATAGGACAATTTGTGGGACAACACAGAGGAAGGCTTGAGGGTTTGTCATTAGGTAGTAAGATCTGGGGGGAAAGTCCCTCCTCCGAGCAAAGGGAGAGCACACAGCTGTTGACCCTGCTTGAGGTCTGAGCCCACAGGCATGTCTCTAGGGCCACTTGGCTGGGTCATTCCTTGCTAGACAGGCTCCTCAAAGCCGGAGGGCTTCAGGGACCCAGCTCAGATCCTCTGGCTCTGCAGCAAGAGCTTAAACCACTGAGCCAACTCACTAGGCTCAGACTTAAAGTTTTAGTGGGGCTAATAAAAACCAATCCCTTTGCTATAAAAATTGATATAAATAGTATTAAAACACTTTGTCTTGATTAACATGTAATTGTTTTAGTGTTTTGAGAAAAGAAAAAGAGGTAAATGGCCCAAAAAGGATATTTAATTCTCTAAAATGGAATTCTTCCCCTGACACCTGGCAAGCTCTTCTTACCTGTGTATGACTTACAGGCTGTGGCTGGCAGGGACAGTTATCCAGGACAGTGACCCTTGGAGGTTGGGCTCTGGGGCACGTAGATGCTATGTCTTGGTAGGCCCTTGTACCACATGCACCCGGGCTTCTCACTGAGTGAAGTTTGCAACACCTCCCTACGTTCTGACTTCTGAGTTGCGCACCCCAGAGACCACCGGCCCTGTAATGTCTGGCCGGTGACAGGCAAAGTTAGAATCTTGGAGTGCAGCTTTTGTGCCCAGAGGAAGTTACCTCAACTTCTTGAGCTTCCGTTTCCTCGGGTGAGAAATGAGATGGTGTTATGCTTGTGTCTGAACACTTGTCTCCCACCACACAAACACCACTATTCTGAAATTTAATCCGCAATGTGATGGTACTGAGGGACGGGGCTGTGGATGGGTGACCATGTCCTGAGGGCTCCTCTTATGAGGGGGACTGGTACCCTTATAAAAGGCCCTGGGGCTGGAGAGATGGCTCCGTGTTTAAGAGCACTGGCTACTCTTCCAGAGGACCTGGGTTCAGTTCCCAGCTGCACATGGCAGCTCACAACCATCTGTGACTACAGTTCTAGGGGACACGTGTTAAAGTGCAGAACACAGACCTCAAGCTTAGTCACCCCCATCTTGGGTTTCCCAGCCCTCGGGGATGTGAGCAGTAACTTTCTACTGTGTGAGCTCTCCTGAGGTGAGGCATTTCGTGAGAGCACACTGAGCAGCTGGGACAGCCAGCATCTGAGAAACGGCAAGGAGAGAAACCACAAGGGTGGCCTCTGCTACAGGGCCCTGCTGTTAAGGATCATCTAGTCTGGTAGAAAAGCCAGAGAGAACAAGAAATGGGGGATAAAATGTGCTTGTTCTCTGCTAACATCCATGGAAGGCAGAGGGTGGACAGCAATCCAAGCCCCCCTGATGCAGACGGACACTCCAAGGGGAGAGGAGTCCGGTCTGGTAGAGGTGCAACAGCAAATCCAATGGTGACTGGCTCTGCCCATGCTTCTTATTTATTTATTTATTTATTTATTTATTTATTTATTTATTTATGGTTTTTCAAGACAAGATTTCTCTGTAGCTTTCGAGCCTGTCCTGGTACTAGCTCTTGTAGACCAGGCTGGCCTCGAACTCACAGAGATCTGCCTGCCTCTGCCTTCCGAGTGCTGGGATTAAAGGCGTGCGCCACCACTACCCAGCTTCTGCCCATGTTTCTATTAACTTGGGTCATGTGCCCATCACCACCAGTGCGAAGATGTTCTGCCATGTGGCCTTGGTCACCTCGGGAACAAAATTCATTACCTATGCTGATCATCACTAAGGTGGGTCCTGGGTAATCATGGCTGTCTCTGTGTCCCACAGCAAATGATTCTGAGTTTTTTTTCAGGGCCAGACCTGGCTGCTACTGACCAGAAACACCCACATCTATACATCAGCTCCACCTACCAAATGAGAGAACAAAATTGTGCTTGCTTTTGTCCTTGCCACCCCCATGGAATTTCACAAGTGTATATGTGTGAATATACAGTGGCTTGAGCCATTGTGAAATTAGAGAATTTTTTAAGGCACATAAGGACAAACCAGACATCAAAGATTGACCTCCACTGATGTCTTGGCCCCAAATCTAGATATTAATAATATTCATATTCCTAGGCTTGGGGAACACTTGCAAACCACATGTTAATTTTATCATATTTCGTAAGGTACTGAGCCTTTGAAATTCTTTCACATGGAAAGATAGGCCAGATGTGCGTAACCGGACACCAGTGACTGGGTCTGCCAAAACAGGGGCTGGCCGGGTAGCCTCTATTTAACCTCAAGGAGCTCACACTCTGAGTTTGCAGGCTCCGCCACTGAACTCTGAGTGACTCCTACTCAGGATGCATGTCTGAAGGCCACCCCAGGCGCCTTTGCATAGCCCCATCCAGCAAGACCCATAAGTTCCTAACACATCCAGCCCTGCAGTATAAAGGCTCAGCTGGCTCTCAATGCTGACCACTGGCCGCTGGCCAACCCTATCTTCAGCTCTACACTCCACCCACATCCATCTCTCCACCATGAATCCATTCTTCTCCTGTTCATTACACACAGAGACCCCCCTGTATAAGTTGCCCATGCTGTTGGGTCTGGGACGCACTCAGTCTGCGTTGAGTAGGGGTATAGTATTCTAATAGCTCTGCTTCTCTCTGGCTATCCATTTAAACAAGTCTCTAATCTCAAGGCTTTGCCAAGATGCCTTCAAACTTCCATAACCCACGAGGATTCACTCTCCAAAGAACAGGTCTACTGAGAATTGGGTGCCTCCCTGCCTGAGCTCTCAAAGGCTCCAGCAAGCAGGCTGCAGGCAGGGAGCTTCTACACGGTGAAGGACCACAAGAACACCTCCACTTGCGTTCTTCCAAGCCTCACCTTTCCCTCATCCATCAGGAAAGGTTGTTCCTGTCACCTTGAGTTCAGGGGACTCCTGGCTGCTCTACTGGTGCAGTGTGACAGATGAGACAAGTCAGAGCACAGGGATAAAGTCACCTTTTCCCTTTCTGAAGCTCTGGGACAAAGGCATGGAGGCAGCCTCTGGGTGTCCTGGCAGATAAACCTTCAGGGTCGCATTCTCCATCACTATGTTGGCAGCCGCAGGAGAATCTCTGAGCAGGGACCCCAGCTAAGCCCACTTCATCCACAGATCCAGAAAACAGTACAGAAACTCTAAGTTTAGGTCTTTACTGTTGAGGTATATGCCTATGTAATAAAATATACATAAATGTTACCATTTAACCATTTTTAAGTGAATATTTCAGTGTTACTAAGAACATGTGTGGAGGGGCTGGAAAGATAGCTCAGTGGTTAAGAGCACTGGCTACTCTTCCAGAGGACCTGGGTTCAATTCCCAGCACCCACATGGTGGCTTGCAACTCCAGTTCTAGGGGACCTGGCACCCTCACACAGAAATACACATAAGCAAAACACCAATGCACATAAGAACATCTGTGGACTGGGGAGATGGATCTATGGGTAAAATGCTTGCTATGCAAGCTTGATGACCTGAGTTCAAGTCCTGAGAATTCAGACATAGTAGTGCAAGTACCTTTAATCCCAACATGCTCCTATGAGGAGGTAGGAGACCGGAGCAGGAGAATCTAAGGGCCAGCAGCCTGGTTTATGAAGCAGCAGAGGCCATATCTCAAACAATATGGAAGGCAAGGACCTACAAACACCCAAAGGTCTTACCTCCGAACATATGAATGTATGTGCAGCTGCACCAACACACACACACACACACACGCGCGCGCGCGCGCGCGCGCGCACTCAACTACTGTTAACATCCATTCCCAGAATTTTAGCTTTCTTAACTGAAATTTTGTGCTACAAGACAGTAACTCCTTGCTACGTTCCAGCCCCTGTCACCACCCACTCAGGTTCTTTCTCTGTGGCTTTAACTACTCTCAGGGCCTGCTATAACTGGAACTTTACACTGTTTGTCATTTGAGTCTGACTATTTCACTTAGCACAATGTCTTCAAGTCTCGTTCATTTTGAAGCCAGTATCAAAAGTCCATCCCTTTCTAGGACTGTACAGTCCTCTACTATATGGATATACATATTTGCTCCTCCATCCAGCCACTAATGAAAATGTCCTTGCTCTATAGCAATAGTTATTAGATCAGAGCTAGGACAGCAAAGTCCCAAGGTGAGGACCTGGTGAGTCTGGCAGAAACATGGGGCACTCCCAGGAAAGCTCAGAGTAGCTGTCTGGTGAGTGGCCCAGAATCCAGGCTGGGGCTTCTGAAAGCACTTGTCACCAAAGGCTAGGTGTCTCCTCAAGTCTCCACTCAGGCCAGGAACTGATGGAGTTTTACGCCTGGGTTCCCTGTCCCAGTGTAGGCTAAAGACCTAAAGCTTAGGAAACATTTGGTAAAGTACCTGACATCAGGCCAGTTTCCACTGATGCTAGAGTGTCTCGCAGGATCTCTATGAGTGAAGAACTGTATCCAGGAACATACCCACCAACCAGGAAGCAGATGTTTATCTCTGGGAAGGAAATGCGGCTGCAGCATGGATGGCTGGGGAAACTCACCCCAGGCAGCACAGGATCTCACAGCACTGGCCCAGAACCAGTGGCAGCCACGTTGGAGAAGAGATTCGGCTAGCTACTAGGGAAGGAGACACGCAGGGTCCAGGCTGAGCCAACAGGATGATAAAGGTCCATGTTTAACATCCTAGTGCAGCTTTTCCCAGGGCTCAGGGGCAGCAGAGCCTTACCTTCTCAGTAGAGGGTTAAGGGCGGGGCTCAACCCCTGGAATGGTACAGGCCATGGAAGACTGTGAAGAGGACGACACAGGCTGAGTTACACAACTGAGCCCTGCTGTGCCTGGGACAACAGTCCTTCCCTCACTGCAGAGGGATCAGTTCTACTGTGTCTCCCTCCAAACGTCACATGAGCCACCAACTGCAACACCCAGAACCAGAGGTCTGCCTCCAAGGGCTCCGTCACCTTTCACAGAAGACAGAAAGAGCGCCATCCTTTCCACAGCTTCCCTGAAGTGTGGCTACCAACCGGGAAGGCTTGGGATGGAACAAGTCACCCACCTCAGGACTCTCAAGCTTCAGGGACTTTGGGGACTGTCACACAGCATGATGAATGTGGCCCTGGAAGTCTGGAGTATCGGGAGCTGCTGATGCTGCTGCTGTTCTTGGGCCTCGGCGCAGACTCAGACTCTGTGTCTCTAAGAGCCTGGGACTGGCTCCCGAGTGAATTCTTCTGGTACAATGACCACACAAAGAGAAAGGCTTTGCTGCAGTGTAAACCCAGTGATGTTAGCAAACAGAGCGTGCTGTCCAGGCCAGAGGCCAGCCGGGAAGTCGGGAAACTGTCCTGGCCCAGTTGCTCTGCCAGTAAACTAAGGGCTCCACTTAACCAGTCTCTGGGCATCTTTCTTCATGTGTATTGGAGCTTGCAAGCTACCCACATTCTCACCCAAACTGGGAAGGTAAAGAACACGAGGAAAAAAAAAAAATAAAGACTGAACATGTAGAAATGTGGTACCATTTAGCATGGTGAGGAGAGGAAGGCAAAGTGACAAAGAAAAACAAAAAGGCAAAGAAAGGAATGGGAGGAGAGGCAGGCATTGTGGGGAAGCGTGCTGCTTTAAGAAAGCTAAGAAAGCTCCCGGGTGGTACCCAGAACGGACTCTCCAAGTCTGAGAGTCAGGGTCTAGGTTAGACAGTCCTCTAGTAGAGCAAAGCAGAAGGGCCGGGAAGAGGCCTTCCGTCATCTGAGGTGCAGCCCCAGCTCGGCGCAGAGCAGGAAGCCTCCACTCTCTCACTCTCTTGAGCATGAACGAAGTGTTGGAACATCCCCCAGAGAACCCCTGGCTAGGCCATATCCTGACACACTAAATCTAACTCAGTTAGCTCTGCTTTGTGGGGGACAAAGACTAGAGTCCCCAAAGGCCAGTCTCCAGGACAGTATGGTTCACCACATCACATTGTAAAGGAAAAGGCATGAGATCCAAGAGTTTAACTTAAAAGGATGGGGGGGGGGGTGTTCCTCCTAGAATTAAAATTTTTTTCAAGATACTTAACTTTCATAATTCAGGATTCATAATTCAATAATTCAAGTTCATAATTCAGGAATGTGTGTGTGTGTGTTTGAGCAGCACACATGTAGAAGTCAAAGGATAACTTTTGCGCTCATGTGTGTGGAGGTGAATTTTAGTGTTCTCAGGTGCTGTCCACCTTTGTGGCGGTTTGAATGAGAAACAACCCTCACTTGAACACTTGGTCCCCACTGGTGGCTCAGTCTGGGGAGTTGGAAGAAGAAGATCATTAAAACAGCAGCCTTTGGGAGGCCAGGGCGGCCTTTGGGAGGTCATAGTCTTGCTTCACTCCAACTTTCCTCTTTCTGCTTGTGTTTGCAGGTGAGGATGTGACCTCTCAGCTTTCTGCTGCTATGCCTCCCTCCGGCTGCCACTCTTCCCTCCCCACCATCAAGAACTCTCAACCCTCTAACACCATAAGCCCAGAATAAACTCTTTCTTCCTTGTGTTGCCTTTGGGTGTGGTGTTTTACCACAACCATAGAAAAGTAACTAATACAACCATGTTTGCTGAAGCAGAATCTCTCACAGAGAACTGGAGCTCACCAATTATTCCAGGATGGTTGCCCTGAGCCCCAGCAAGCCTCCTGTCTCCGCCTCCTTGGTGCTGGGGTTAACGGCATGGGCCACCCTGCCTGGCTAGAACTTTTTAATATGATATCCCTACTGAGGAACTAGGCAGAAGCTGCAGAGACTCCTCCAATGATAAAGACCTGATTGTTTTGTGAGCTCATTTCATTCTGATTTAGACAAGACTCAACTCTCCTCTCTTTCTTCAGGATCCACCCACAGTGAGTTTAAACAGCTTCCCTCGCCCACCTTTCAGCTAACCCAGAGAAGCTGATGATGACCGGCACTGGGTCTTCCCATACTTCCTCAGAGCAGAAGGCGTGTTCGTTCAGCCTGTCCCGGGCAGCACATTGCCCAGCCCTTTACCCTCTTGTGGGCAGTCGCTAGCCTCACCCACACACCACCATGAGCCTTAACCTCACCCTGTCATGAGACATGGCTGCTGCTTCTGCTTTACCCAGTCATCTTATCTCCCAAGCCTACCCATGAGCTCTTGCTTCTTACACCAGTACAGTCAAAAGCTGAGGGACTGTCATGAGTGTTAAGAAAAAACAAAAAAAAAGAGGCAGCTCCGCCCACACAAGATATCCAATTAGGTCAAATCAAACCAGATCAAAATGCCCATTTATTAAGTAAGGCACTCTCGGGTAGTTGAGTGCATGGCGGGGAGACAGGACAGCGGGGAGCCCATGGAGACCCGAAAACCATGTTTCTTCTCTGGGAGCCCACTTAAATACCCTGTCGGAGTGGTTCTGACCCTCCTCAGGGAGGGGTCAGGACCTGGCAAGCTGGGATTTGGAGTCCAGACCAAAGCAACTCCCAGGCCAGACGGGCTGGGATGGATGCCAGGGGCTGGAGGGCTATGCTCCAGACTTAACAACGAGGCCAGCACTGGACAGTCCATAGTTCATTCCACTTGAGCAGAAGACAACAAGTTGTTTGTCTTTAAGAAATAACTCTAGAATATTCAATGGGTATTGCATACTGTGTTTTCTCAAGTTACAATTGACAAACAGAGCAAGAGAGACCCAGAGAGGTAGAGTGTTGATCTCGGGACAATACAGATTAAAAAGATGTATGTGAACTCTCGCTTTGTCTCCCACATTGTTCCTATTGCAGTTGAGTGTGAACAAGGCTATCTTCTGAGTGTGATTAGGGCTAAGTTTCCCCTTCTTTGCCTGTTTATTATGCATTCTGTCCATTTTTAAATAAACAGTAACCCACTTACACACTGATATGTGTTTAGAATTATTTTAAGAGTTGAAGTAATCTTCCCCTAGGGATCTGTGTCTTGAGGAATGTGCTCATGCAGTGTGTTCATGCATGCGTGTGTTTATGTGTGTGTGTGTGTGTGTGTTAATTCTCTCGTGCATAAACACATTCAACAATGATCACTCAGCACTCTTAAGGCAGTGCCGGAAGTAAAAGCACTCGCAGTGTGCTCCACCAGAGAATTCCCCGCCTGGTAAGGGCAGCCCTCAAAAGCTATCTCAATATGTTAAAGACAAATGAGGGGTTCCGTGGCCTTAATCAAGTATGATGGGAACGAGGGTGATAAGTACCCACAATTGGGGCTGACAAGGTGGCCCAATGAAAGGTGCCTGCCACCAACTCTGATGGCCTAAGTTCTATCTCAGAAGTCTGCATATGAGGTGAGAACTGACTCACACAATCTGTCCTCCCACCTCTACACGTGTCCCTACACACACACACAGCATAAATCCATCTACTAAAACATTTTAAATGTCCATAATTGAGGGGTGGGGGTTGTGAAGAACTTCGGGAAGAATGGGGCAGCTGTGGTGGTCTGAACGAAATAGCCCCCATAGCTCAGGAATGTGAACGCTTAGTCACCAGGGAGTGGAACTGTTCAAGAAGTATTAGGATGCGTGTCAGGGCCAGTCTCTCTCTCTCTCTCTCTCTCTCTCTCTCTCTCTCTCTCTCTCTCTCTCTCTCTCCCTCCTTTCCTACTGCATGCAAATCAGGATGTAAACCTCTCAGCTCTTGTCCCTGTGTCATGCCTATCTATTTCCCGCCATGATGACAATGGACTAACCCTCTAAAATTGTGAGTAAGCTCACATGCTCTCCTTTTATTAAGTTGCCTCGGTCATGGTGTCTCTTTACAGTAACAGAATAGTAACTAAGACAGCATCTGAGCTGCACCATGAAGATTGGCATTGATAAGGCTAAACAGAGCAAGTCTGGCTAGAGAGGCACAGTTGGAGGAGTAATGTCCAAAAGGCTCACGGGGTCGGGTGGGGGAGCACCACGATAACAATTTTGATTTCATCCTAAAAGCAATGAGGAGACAGAGGGACATTTAAAGAAAAATAAATAAAACAGTATCCAGGCATGGTGGCCCATGTCTTTAATCTCAGTACTCAGGAGGCAGAGGCAAGTGGATCTCTGTGAATTGGAGGCTAGCCTGGTCTACAGAAAGAGTTTCAGGACCGAAGAGGATGCATAGGAAGACCCTGGAGAGAGTAAGGGATGGGGAGAGAAAGAGAGGGGGTGCCAAGTCAAAGCAGGAGAGATGGACGAAGCCTTCGAGAGAGAAGCTGGGACTGGACCTGATGGCTCCTGCCCTACATGCTTCCATTCAAAGTCCAGAACAGAAGAATTGTTTATCGTGTACATCCTTCACAGCTTGGGGACAATTCTCCAAAACGCTGCCATTGCTCCCCAAAGGGACTCTATCCCAGAGAACACTGCCAATAGACTCACAGAACAGTAAGGGGTGCCACATACACCAAAAGATGGTGGAACAATCCTAAGCAAGGCAAAGTCAGGGTCCAAGAAGCATTGAAAAGTTCCAGCAACACAGCATAAGAAAAAAAGACAACGAGTAAAGTTCTACTAGAAGAGACGGGATTAAGGGACTGGGTGAGCTGCTGGATGAAGAATGAAGAACACTGGCAGTTTAGGAAGCCAAGAAAGGAGCAAGCGCCTGCCTCACGTGAGCAGAAGCTACACATTGTAAGCAAAGCACATCCCATTGCCTCTCCCGCGCCCCTGTGGGAGCGGGGATGGGGGGTGGGGTGGGAGACTCCCCCTGTCAGACAGACAAGCTGGCGGGAGGCTGGTGCACAGGATGCGGACCTGTGAACAGTTAAGTAGAAACATCTGGCAGGAGAGGGGAACGTGTGGGTGAGGAGGAGGCAAACCCTGCTGAGCAGGGCTGGGGAAGGTGGCCCAACCCTTGCATCTATACAGCTCACACTCAAAGATGATTGACACTGAGGATGACGTCAACCGGCAAACAAGATTTCTCTCCTCACTGGAGGAAATGATAATCTCCGCAAGTCTGCACCTTCTCAGAGGACACTGGCTCTACCATCTGATTCTCAGCTGAGCTCTGATCACTTTTCCTACAAAATATTTTTTTTTCCTTACAATTAGTAGTGACCAGATGGACACCAGCAAAGGAACTGGGATGCTCATGACATGTACAAGACCCTGCTTCAAGCCACAATGCCATAGGCCCGAAGGTGCAGGAGCAGGGGGTCTCTGGGTGTAAAGAGTCAAAATTTAAAGCATTTCTCTATTTGTGTTAATGCTAACATGAGGCCAACATATACAAGGCTTGAGCTAGGCACGTGGGGCATTTCTGTAATCCATCTCTGGA